TTGATTGTTAAAATAAGTGCAGTTTGAGAAAGGAGTTTCTATTCCACTTTAATTCAACTAAAACACAAGTTAACTTGTAATTTTCGATCAACTTTCCAAGCAAGAAATGAATTATATTTAAAATTGAAGACAACCGCATAGACATTAATGTGTTATTATTTACCAGCATTCTATCCTTTTTGCAGTAATATATACAGATTAAGTCTCACTGGTCGTGTCGAGAAGTCGTCCCACTAGAGTATGAGAGTGACAGGAATAGAGAGTGCACTTGTGTCTGCGCGTACACTTGTGCACTATAATATCTGCGCAGTTGGCTAGTCTCAATGAGATTGACCGCCGTGGCCAGAATCGGTCAGGAGAACATCATACACAGATTAGGTGCGTATTGACTAATACTTTAGCACACATCACCGTTATTTCATTTAACGTGGGCAAACGCAGGTTTTTACTAGTACAAAGTATACATAGCGTTATTCTAAATTTTACATACAGGAAATGTGTCCTAAGACCTAATATAACGGAATAAATAAGTTATTGGGTCTTATTTGGTATTGAGCTATATCTTAGCAACATTGCCTTTACCTTATTAAAATTAAATAATTTATCTATACATATAATAAAATTCTAACTAAGGCGAACGTGTACATTATTTGTACATTAGATATTTTTTGGAAAATCTTATTGCAATAAACATTATTATCGATACAGAGGCCAAATCTATAGATTTTAGAATTTTTGTCTGTCTGTCTGTCTGTTACCGCATCACAGAAAAACCACTGGAGGGATTTTGATGAAATTTGGTATGGTGATAGCTGGTTATAGGAGTCAACATATACTTTTCACCGCGGGAAAATATATAATTTTTGAGAAAAAATACAAAAACTGCAATTTAAGAGTATACTAATATGTAAAACCTAAGAATTTGGTTTTTGGTCATCTGAACGCGAGCGGAGCCGCGGGCAATGCTAGTCAAATATAATGGTGTTTGCTATTAAAAACCTAAGGATATAGGAAGTCGTCATATTATAGTATTTACATAATGTCCTGCTCAGTAATTAAAAACTAAAGCAATAAACAGAAAAAAATATAGGTACTCTTTGACACTTAATAAACTTGAGTTTAACAGTTTTCAGAATGGAAACTGTACCCAAGTGTACTCTTAGATCAGATAAGTATATAAACAAGCATCAAAATCGTTTCCGCGACTTATTTTTCATTCTGGAATAATAATCCTAATAAAAATGTCTAATTAATTAAAATCTGTAATTAAAAAAAATAAAAATTAAGTGAGGAATTTTATATAGTGTTTTGTATAGAGAAATTGTCACAAAATAAAAACTTAAAAAAAAACCTACTTAAAAAAACACACAAAAAATGAAAAAATAACTGATTGGTAGTTTTCATTTACTATACATAACTAATCAAATATATTCGAATTCGGTGTGCTTTGCTTTGTATCGGTTGGCATCGACTTTTTAGTGCTGTTTTTGAAGTCGGTTCTAATTTTTTTGGTAAAAAGTTTTTATTTTTCCGTTTTTAGTATACACATAGTAGAAGCAAAGTGAGAAGAAAGTATTTTAATAAAATATTTGCTTAAACCGTTTGAGTTACTTTGATGCTAATTTTAAGATGATGAGTGACAAACTAAAATTCACTTTTATTTGAAACACAAAAAATTCTGGCTCTAAAATCCGATTTTAACGTGTTAGGCTTGGAAATCAAACAAAATAAGCCCAAACTCAAAGTATCTACACACAGTCCCACCTATCCACTTTCTGGCCTTACGTCAGATCAGGCCAACGATACCGAAACGCTGCACTATCAACAGAAATAGACACACTTGCAATGTTTCAAGTCAATATGACGATTAGAAGTAGTTGAAATACATCATTAGCTATTTTTCCACCCTTAGGGGTAGTATTTTTTTTGAAATTTAAATGAGACTAATCTGGAAGTATACACTTTCAAACAAAACAAAAATTGTCTTAATCGGTTAGTAAATGACGGAGTTCTGAGGTAACAAACATAAAAAAACGTTCAGCCGAATTGAGAACCTCCTCCTTTTTGAGGAAGTCGGTTGAATATATATATAAAAGATGTCTCCCGTTAGAATTCACATCAAAATATTTTTGATTAAAAGATGTAATTTTCTTGACTTGAATTTTCTTGTATTCATGAAAATTATATAGAAAATTACAAGCGAGTTAATGAAATCATTATTTGAAGTCAGTATCTAAGATTAACGCCGCGTAGGCGTGGTCGTATCAAAGGCACCTAGTTCCTACAAAATATTATAATCGGAGCGAATGTTATGAAAGCTAAGTTTTTCCCTTCCGCGTTACGTTAACAGCCTTGTTAATGTCGCAAGGCACCACAGGCCCATTTGTATTACAAAAGAAACGATTGTTATTTGGCAGGTAATTGAACATTGCGAACATAATTTCGCATAGTTTTGCTAATGATATAGTATGGATTGTGAATAATTTGTCTTCTTTTTGCATTCAAATTGTAAATAATTAAAATTAAAGAAATTAATTAAAATTCTAAAAAATCTATTGTTAACTGTAACGCCGGCGTGTCCGCGCTCGTGGAGGGATTAAGCAATTGACTTTAAAATCACTTAGAAAGTATTATTTGATCCAGGTTTTATTTTAGGATCTCATACATTAAAAAAGTTCTAGGTACACAATGCCATGCAAAAGTTATATATATATATTTATCTTAGTGAAGTTTGCCCAAGCGGACTTTACACAACCGAGTTATGACAACGAGAAATATATGCGAATGACACGTACTAACCATTTCCATACCGTTAAGCACATACAAAGGCGTCCCATAGTTTTCTATCGGCGATAGCGTATTAGCGTATTGTTCATAATTCATAACTACTGACAATTACAAAATAAACATTAAAAAGTAAAAGCAAGCTTAATGAACTACTTTATCTTGTAAGATTTTTGTTAAAACTTAAACTTGAATATGATTTGTGTCCAAAAAGGTGTGGTGGAAATATTCGAAACCAAAAGTTGTATGTCCCACATCTATAGTTATAATTTCTACGGTCCCTGTTAAAGCAGGGGTGGCATATTTCGATGAAGCTAGTTGTATCAAAGATCACTTTAAAAAGTATGAATGTCAGTGATATAATCCGATACAAGTATATCAGGTTATGAATGAAGTGGGCACGGCCTTGCACCCACGCGTGTACGGTACACCTCGTAAATGCATTAAGTAAAAAATATAAATATTATGAAATTTGCATTGTATTGTATACATCGTAACGTCCCACTGCTGGGTATGGGCTTCTCTTCAATATGATAATGATCAGGTCCACTACACTGGCCAAGTGCAAGTTGGCAAACTTTACATTTCTTTCCGTCACTGTAAGACAAGTGTTAATCAAGTGAATCAAAGTGATCAAAGTGATGAAATTTGCATAGATCCAATAATATGTTATAGTAATTATGGTTATGCCGAGATGATTCATTTTACTCCTTTTACTCTGAAAAATTTTCGAAACTGGAAGATACCACTGCTATTTTTGGTTCTGTAACCAAAAATGTAATGATGTAATGATGACATGATATTTTTTTAAGATTTTGAAAGCTGCCTGCATATTTATTATTGTAAAAAATTTGGTCAGCAAAAATTTAAATACCAATTTTGTAAGGCCTTTTTTAGTGTTAGCATATCGTCGTCATAGATATTAATACGCTCCTCACGATTTTAGAAACTGCTCAATAAGCGTGTCAATATATTTTAGTACCTAGACCTTTTTGTTGCATTTTATAAGGCGTGTTTGTATTTCTATTTATGAACGACCTTGTCTAATAATAAAACAGAAATTAACTTTTAACCTCGTAATTATTTTTCTTCTTATATTCTTTCAGTCTCTATAAAAAACGCAATTTATTAAACATTATGTTATTATTATAATTTACAGTACCTATAGGTATTAGATGCGTGATAAAACTTTGCATTATATATTTTAAAATAATGTATACGTTTTTTATGTCTATTAATGTACTATCTATACATATAATAAAATTATAACTAAGCCGAATCTGTACATTAAATATTTTTTGGAAAATCTTATTGAAATATAATACATTATTATCGATACAGAGGCCGAATCTATAGTTTATAGAATTTTTGTCTGTCTGTCTGTCTGTCTGTCACCGCATCACAGAAAAACCACTGGAGGGATTTTAATGAAATTTGGTATGGTGATAGCTGGCTATCCGGGTCAACATATAGAATACTTTTTACCGCGGGAAAATATCTCATTTCTGAGAAAAAAATACAAAAACTGCATTGTAACAGTATACTAATAATAATATGTAAAACCTAAGAAATAGGTTTTTGGTCATCTGAACGCGGGCGGAGCCGCGGGCAATGCTAGTATAATATATAGGTAGTCTATCTATTCCATTATAACCGTCAAAACGTACCTAAGGACGATGCCGAGCGAAGCGAGGGTGAGTCGCTAGTTTTTAAATATGTCTTCAACTTGTCAAGTGAAATACTCAGTCCGCTGTGTATTTCACGATAATATTTTTTTGTCATATAGAAAGCCATTTTACTGCTTCTAAAACCCATTACCGTGTACATTATTTTTAATAAAATGCATGGGATTACTCACGTAGGATTAGAACATGAATTTGTATCGCAATATTGTAAATTATTATTATATTTAAAAAAGAGCAACTGTTGTGTTTCTCGCCGGCTCTTCTCAGCAGAACTGCCTTCCGAGCCGCTGGTAGATTCCTCACGGACTTACAGACTAATATTTAAATTAAATTTAAAATTGACAATTCAAAAGTGCTTGTAAAAGTCTATTTGAATAAAGTATATTTTGATTTGATTTATAACTTTAAGAGCTCGATTCAATAATATAGACATAATATGTTATGAAGTAAAAATGGATATTTTGTAAATAATTTTAAAATGTTAATAAACCTTTAAAAGAAGATTCCATGGTATGTCAAGGTACTATATCATGGTGCGAGTACAAGTTCATGTCCGGTTTTCACTAAGCGCAAGGATGTATCAACCTCGTTATAAATCTCCACTCGTGCGCATGCATTATTCACCACATCAGACCTGTCACCGCCAAAACCAAACTGCCTAAGATTTTTGATGCACTACAAGTGAATAACAAGTTTAATATTTCTTACGCATTCATATGTGCTAACTTCCTGGGAAAATTAGTATGAAGCTATAAGATAATAAATTATGTTTGCTGAAAATAGATCAAGTATATTTTAAACCAAACATGGTCCCGGGAAAGGAAGAAATACTGCGGCAAAACCTGAAAAGATAGTTTAATTTAAAATGTCAAATATTCGCGGAAAAGAAAATATCAGAGCAAGAAAAGTCTCAAGTTCAACTTTATAAATACAGTTTATAATATTTAATTCGTTTCATTACGCACATGCAATTTCTACGTTAGTTTGCTTATAGAGTCACGAATATTTTTGGCTGGTTCTACGTACTGCTACATTATTAACTTTTACCTACCTGTCTTGCTTTTTTGTGTCAAAATACTGACATACTGAGTAATGTACATAATATTTTTTATGTAAAATATGACTTATAATGCTTATAAGCTACTTTTTTGCGATTTCACTCGTCTAAATGATACGTCGATAACAGGATCGTATATATAATTGGATACGAAAATTGTAAAATATGGCTATTTTAAGTATATTTTATATTTTAAATTATAACGTATTTTTAATGAAAATTTTAACTCTTCACAAACTATTTCTCAACAGTTTTGTTAATTTGTATAATAAAATTTGATTTGGTATAATTTGAGTGACCCAACGGTGGTATAAAATAAGTTGGCTCTACTGGCAGCAGTCGTCTCTACTGCCAGTAGAGATCCCTGGTCGATAAATAGCTTACATGCTAATCCAGATAATAATATGTATATATAAGTTGTCTATTTCGAATCTAAGTCAAGTCCGTTGAGCTGTTACAGAGTGAAGAAGCTAAAAACACACTCACTCGCAAACTTTCGGAATTTATAAACTTAGTGTGTTTATTGTGACGAAATAAAACCATATTAAACCATTCTTTCTCTAAACATTTACCACTATAAAGAGGTAAAATTACTTGGTTTCTTTGTATATTGCGGATAATTTATGAATGTAGAAGAATAGAATTGATCCTAAAAGATAAATGAGTCATTTCTTTTATATCTTGCATGTTTTATCTTTTAACCTTAAAGTAGAAAAGATCTATCTTTTATTTCCATTTGAGGTTCAAAAGTGTTTTTATTCTCACAAAATCATAATAAGGAAACTTTAGAACATCAGAAAACGTTATTGTTTAATTCAATTACATTTCCTTGTTAATTAGAGCGTGCTGATTGAGCATAATCTTCGCCAATGTCACGTAGAATGGAGAAGATGCGATGAAGATTGATTTGTATTATCCATACGTATAATAAAATTGTAACTAAGCCGAATCTGTACATTATATTATATTTTGTGGGAAATCTTATTGAAATAGACATTATTATCGATAGAGGCCGAATTTATAGTTTTTAGATTTTTTGTCTGTCTCTCTGTCTGTCTGTTACCGCATCGCGGAAAAACCACTAGAGGGGTTTTGATAAAATTTGGTATGATGATAGCTGGTTATCCGGGTCAACATATAGGATACTTTTTACTGCGGGAAAATATCTCATTTCTGAGAAATCTAAATACTAAACGTTAAAACGTAAGTATGATGAAATAAAATATGTATAATTTTAAAAATTATTTCCAAAGAGTTAACCACTGTGATATGTTTTAAACATATAATATTATACTGCCCACAGAAAACTGTCACGTGGACATTGGCCCTCTGCGACACACCGTTTATGGCTGGCTACTGTTCACCGGGAGCTCAATTCGTTTTTCACCAAAAAAGTAGATCGTTCCACGCACACGGACCAAGCTTATACGAATACGCATGTTTTTTTTTCTATCTTTATTTGGTATCAAGATGTTGTGCGTGAGTCATCTGGTAGGCTCGAAGGACCAGAATTTGTAAATTAATTTTTTTCTCACATATTTACTTCTTGTGTAATGTACCAATTGTTAAGTAGAATTCCTCCTACCACCTAGTAAGAAAGTAGTCCATAAATTAGTTTATTTTACACTGAGAGGTTTACCTTTTATTTTATAAAACCGTATAAAGGCTGTATAGTAAAAATAATCACAAAATTTCAGTTTTTTTAAACGTTACCTAGTCAAATGGTAATGTTGTAACTTATAATTCTACCTATTATTTTTTTATCATTGATATTTAATTTCCTTCTTTTAAATGTCGGCTAAAAATTGATAATTATCATTCAAAAAGAATGCAATGTTATCTGTTGCGTCCTGCAAACAGAAGCTTTGTCGATTTCTCGCTACACTTAATGACGTTCAAATGCTATATTGTTGAAGGTATAAGCAATAGCGGTTTTTGAAATAATTTTTAATTAGCCTTAATATACGAAATCTGGGCCTTATTATGAATAAGATTTCTATTTCTATATTATGGAAACAGATAGAAAATATCTTGGAACCAAAAAAATACAAGTAAGGTGTATAAATATTTTTATAGCTTCGATTACTTGAAAAAACCTTCGAGAATTTATCAATAAGATTGAAATGTTACAACAAAGTAGTTAAGTGTTTGAAAATTTCCCAATAATATATTGTTTGATAGAATGAGATATTTTCCCTTGGACCACTTATGCATTCCTTGTGCGCACGCGATCGGTTCTAGTCTGCGAGGCAAGAATGTGATCAGTCGATACTGGAAGATGTGCAGTTATTATATATTTAACATCTCCATTTAAATATCTTTATCAAACCCATCAGTCTACATGTATAAATCAACAGTTCAAAAAAAGGGAATATTTTATTGAGAATTGCTAGCAGTATTTATTATAATATATTATCTTTTATTTATGACTAGCGACTCACTCTCGCTTCGCTCGACTTCGTCCCGTTACGTTTAAACGTTAAGTATACATTTCTCAGAGATGAGATATTTTCTCGCAATAAAAAGTATCCTATATGTTGACGCGGATAACCAGCTATCATCATAGCAAATTTCATCAAAATCTGTCCTGTGGGTTTCTCGTGATGCGGTCATAGACAGACAGACAAAAATTCCAAAAACTATCGATTTGGCTTCTGTATCGATAATAATGACTATTTCAATAAGATTTACCAAAAAATATTTAATGTACAGATTCGACTCAGTTAGAATTTTATTATATGTATAGTTAGACTACATCCCTGAGTATCGGACTTACGTATATACTAGCGTTTTCCTGCGGCTCCGCCCGCATAGTACATTAATCACCAACATATCATATACTAAAACCATTTCCGAAACACGCAGCATCTTATGGTATGAGTATTATTCCGATCGGCTCAGTAGTTATCGCAGTATAACCGAATAAAAAAATGAGCTCTCCATTTATTAGTATAGATATCAGAAGAGAAACGGGAGACGTACCGTGATAAAATAAGTTGGCTGTGTCTTGCCTATAAAGTATAAACTGAATTCAGAAAATCCCATCAATTGATGTAAAAAATAACCAAAAAAACTTTCACATGTAGGGCGGTAGTGTATACTCGTATTAAAGCGGAGGTGACGGGTTCAATGTATACATTTGTTCAACACACTTTCAGTTTAATATAATGTATGGTTCTAAAAGTTCTTTTAATGCAGCGCTAGTCAAACTTCTAGCACCAAATATGTACTTCTGTTATTGCTAGATCATTGGGGTCATAATACATAATAATTTAATATATCACATATTTTATGTTTTAGGAAGAGAAAAAAATAAATATAATATTTACAAAACAAACATTAAAATATACATACATATATTAACTTTGAGAATCTCTGTTCAACGCATATCTCGGAACTTTTTGATTAAATTAATTAAAGTACCCATTTCTAAATTATACCTATATAATACCTAGAAAATTAGTGTTTAATATTATTATTTGAAAATTATGCGCATTTCCTATCAAAACTTAACTATCGCAATGCAAACATAAATTTTAATTTCTAAAGGAACGTCTTTCCTCTCATCGGTACTAGGCACTTTCACAGAAGATTGGCGTAAGACATCTCTCGCTGATGTCATGTCGGTGACGATGAAAGTTGTGATAAAATGCCAAACATTGCTTAGCGCTAAGTAACGCATTATTAATGATCCTGCACTATTATATTTTCTAGTCAGTGCTGTAAGTATGTTTATATTTACATATTAAGTATTTAAATAGTGGATGTACATGAGATCTGTCTAATGTCATTTATACTGAAGAAAATATACTTAACTTCTTCTAAAGGTAATATTCAATTGGGCTTGATAATTATAAATGAAAATGAAATTATGAACGTGCTTACCACGTTTGTAAAATCATATAAATCCTTTAAATTCTGTATTTTCTTCTTTGCAAGATAATACTTATAAATAAATTAAAGTTAAAAATACGTGCAAATATTTAGATTTATAATATTCATTGCCCTACATCTTATCTATACATGCCTCGTTGGGTTATTCGATAGCATTAACTGTGCAGATGTGGAGATCCTGGGTTCGAGTCCAAGACGGGCTAAGATTAGATATCGAGTTTATCTTTCGAAAAATTCTCAGTACGAGACCGGAGTTGGGAAGTTGTGGAGCCCCGTACCTCGAAAAGCACATAAAGTCGTCGGGCCTGTTTGTGCCTGACCTCTCACCGGTCATGTCGAGTTATCGTCTCACTGGATTTTGAGAGTGACAGGAATAGAGTGCATTTGCGTTTGTATGTATATTTGTGTAATATAATATATCTCCTGTGCAATAGTCTTAATGAGATTGGTCGCAGTGGCCGACATTAATATGTCCGGATATTTATATGGAAGACTGAGTAAGGTTCGCGGTCCTTGAACTAAAATTTTTTAATGTCAGATTTGAGACTTAACGCCGCTTCTAGTGGTTTATATTTTATTGTAGCTTTATATTTATATTATTTTTAAAGCTTTACTTACCAAATAACAATCAATAGGCTTCTCTCTCGGTCTATGATACGCTTTTTGCAGTTCTGTTTGTTTGAGCGCGTGCGCAATATGTAGGGCGCTGGCGTCGAAGCGACCATATTGGTAGTCAGGTGTGTCTCGCGACAACTCACGCGCGGGTGAAGCGTGTACGCTGCTGCCGTTGGTCGCGCGAGTTGGTGATACTGTTAATAAAATAAACTTATTATTATTATGCTTAAAACATAACAGGACTAAAGTTACAATTTACAATTGTATTTATACAATTTTTTGTCAGTATTTTTAAAATAGGATATGAAAAGAATATTTCTCCTAAGAAACCTTTTTACAAAAAGAAAATTAAGAAAAAATGTTACACTAGTTCTAGCCGATGGTACAGTATGCATGTACCTACATATGTTTACTGTGCCGGAGGTCACATGTTTATTTAAAAGGTTTTGTCTTTTTATAAGGCGAAAATATTTTTTGTTTCGATATTATGTTGTTGTTGTTTATCTTTACCTACTGTTGTCTCCGAGAGAACATAGTTTAATTAGTAAATATTTTTTTAAATTAAATAATAATAATACTTCCGTTTTCCATTGTTGGGCCTGGCAAACCCCTTAATGGGATCAACCCATAGTCCACCGTGCTGTACTGAGTACGTCTATCGAAAATTGATTAAGTTCACTCAAACATAAAGGTTACTTATCCTTAATCTTTCACCGTAAGCAAATGGTAATCATTTTGAGAATGATTCCCACATGAAAACAGAGGTCCGAGACCCGGGTTTTGGGCCTGCTTCACTAGATTTTCTTAAGCGAGCGCACCATTGGGCTACCACTGTTTATTTACTCAAAAAATATATAATAAAATTCTTGAGGAATATAATACTTAGTCCCTTAACGACCGGTGTAACAGTTAACAATGAATTTCTTAGAAATTTAATAAATTTCTTAGAAATTTACCTCGAGGAGTTTATGTTTTCTACAGTATATTTTTTCTACATATATTTAATTTATATTATGTATGTATTTAAAGTTATATATGTGTATTATATCAACTATCTGGTATCCATAACACAAGCCTCGTAGCTTACCTCTAGATGGTGCTGTGTGAAATGTCCCAACATATTTATTTATTCTACATAATATACATATATGTTCTCAATACCCAAGTGTATCGGTCAGTAACGGGCGCCTGCATATTAGCAACGATTAGTGGCAGCTCGCGTGTACCGATGTAGATCCCCCGTTATGCATGACAATCAGCACGCGTAGTGCATTTATTTGTTTTTCAAACAATTATAAAAAGTCTACATTTTATTGTTATTATAGCGGTATATCGCTTGGCTTTCTCGATTTATCAAATGCCGATACAATATGGTTTTTATATGATTGAATTCTTAGAGATGATAAAATTTGGCTATTAGTAAAGACCTACAAGAAGAAAAGTCAAGCTAATGTAAACCTATATAAATTTAACAAAAATGTTACGATAAAATGTGTTTGCATGTATAGGATAATGATTGGAAATATTGAACTAACTCACCCTTAAACAAAAATCTTTTGTATTACTCAGGTTTTTTTAATCTAAAAATAAATAAGTATATTTTTAATTGATATTTATTAATTATATTATATTTTATTATTATTAATTACGTATGTATTCATCGATATCGATATTATCTACTATTTAGCTCGTGCGTATGTTTCTTCCAGGGATAAATAAAATATTAAATATTAGCGTTATAAATACATATTATAACGTTGATATTTAAATGTACATTTTTACTTTAGTTCAAAAAATAGCCGTATTCGGCAGTGTTCTGGCTTCTGACACATGATTTGAATATAAGTGAACTAGCGACTCACTCTCGCTTCACTTGGGTTTGTCCCTGGCTTGCTTCCCAATACAAACTTTCATCCCCATTTTCACCCCATTAAGGGATGATTTCTTGGATAAACAGTATCTATGTCCTTCCCAATTTCTCAAACTATCTTCTTACCAAATTTCATCTAAATCGGTTCAGTAGATCTAGAGATTATCCCCTACTACAAACTTATAATTCACAAACTCACTAACTTTACCTCTTTATAATATTAGTATAGATACATTTTTTTTGGAAGGGCTTATATACACCATGACTTTTTAAGTGTATGTAAGAATCCATAAAAAATGGTAGGTATACTAATATATTAAAGAGGTATCTCTTTATTATATTAGTATAGATAAATAGGACGCAAATGATATTTTCTTATTTTATTTTTTATTTTATTTTTAACATATTTGGAAAACATACAGTACAATAATACTTAGAATTAATCAGATATAAATAATACATAAACCAGCGAAGTTTTTATTAGTAAGTTATTGTCTGTATACTCTGCGAGGGAAAGTGTAAGGTAATAAATAAAAACTTTTTAACAAAAAAATAAAAACCGACTTCAAACAAAAGCACTAAAAAGTAAAAAATAACTGATTGGTAGTTTTCATTTACTATACATACCTAATCAAATATTTTCGACGTCGGTGTGCTTTGCTTTGTATGGGCTGGCACCGATTTCGAAAATATTTGATTAGGTATGTATTTAATAGGTAGGCTCTAATTACTTAGCCAAAGCACACCGACTTCGAAAATATTTGATTAGGTATGTATAGTAAATGAAAACTACCAATCAGTTATTTTTTACTTTTTAGTGCTTTTGTTTGAAGTCGGTTTTTATTTTTTTGTTAAAAAGTTTTTATTTTTCCCTTTTTAGTGTAGACAGTAGTAGCAAAGTAAGGATTCTAACGTGTTAGGCTTGTCAAATCAAACAAAATAAGCCCAAACTCAAAGTATCTACTATTAGCCGTTGAAGAGTTCCACCTATCCACCTTCTGGCCTTGCCATCAGATCAGGTCAACAACACCGAACCACTGTACTATCAACGGAAATAGAAATACTTGCAAAGTTTCAAGTCAATATGACAATTAGAAGTAGGTTAAATTCATCATTAGTAGTTTTTCCACCCTTAGGGGTGGTATTTTTTTTTTGAAATTTAAATGGGACCAATCTGGAAGTATACCCTTTCAAACGACACAAAAATTGTCCAAATCGGTTTAGAAATGACGGAGTTCTGAGGTAACAAACATAAAAAAAAAAAAAAAAACATACAGTCGAATTGAGAACCTCCTCCTTTTTGAAGTCGGTTGGAAATATGCTATTTTTATTGCATTTATAATAAAAACGTACGTAACTTAAAAAATGAGTTATTTTAAGTTAAACTGTAATGAGAAAAATTATTTCTATTTGCTATCCAAATAAAATAATGATATCCAAAACTATATTTTAGGAACATTCATCATGTATTAAGTAGTAATATTAAGTGTTACTTATCTGATGTATAAATTATAATTATTACATCGCTCCGAAAATACTCTCTATCTTAAGTGAATATGGTTGATATTTCTGTGTCTTTATTCATTTACACCTTGGAATGGTGCCAACGACCTTTTATATAACCATAAGTCACATACTGTGCCGTCCCGTAGAATTTACCTGCATGCCACTACGAAATAGCCTTTTAAAAATTTGTTGATTCAGATCACTAGTAACTTTGTACTTTATTTTATCTCAATACGAATATTTATTCATTAAAATGTAGTGTTTAAAGATTAGATGAACTAGATTTTTTTTTAATAATATTTTGTTAATGGCTTGTAGTAAAAACCTATTAAGGCTTCATCTACGTTACCAAAACAAGCCATTTTGTTAGTAATCACAGCATAAAATAAATAAACAAGCGAGCGATGTAGGTCGATCTTAATTTGTTTCTAATAGTTTAACACGTAAATTATAATGTAAATTCTAAGCTATTAAGGACAGACTATAAAAAAATAAAGTTTTTTTAAGTTTATTATAGACATAACGACTTTGATTACTTAATTAAACGCGTGAAAATCTCGATATTACATAAAAATCTAAGGGATTTCCGTTTTTTCCTTTTATGGGTTTGTTAAAATAATCTATGGTGTTCATAGAATCACAACTTGGGTTTTTTTATATTGACAAATGTTTGCTGCGGCTTAGAGATAATCATTTTTGTTGAATGTTAACTGGATATATAAAAGTGTGTCTTCAAATGTATGTAAAAACTATCCGACTTATGGTATTATAGTATTCAAGGTTAAATAACAATTGTGTAAGATTGTATAGAACAAAAAAGTACAACAAATGGTTTAATATTTATTTCTTTTGAGGATATAATTATGTGAGAATAAATAAATAAACTATGGCTTTTGTTGCCGGATAGCGGAATAAGTCAAACGTGTTAAGAAATTTATCAAGGACTGTTTGAGGGTAAAGCGAAAAAGTTTCTATGGGATATGATTTTAATAAAATTTTCGAACGAGGGTTAGTGAGGGTCGAAGCGAAGTGAGGACATTACTAATAGATCATTTGCCTTATTCAGGAATCGAACCCCACATCGAAACAATAAAGCTATTACAAAACACTCAAGTTAAAATATATACAGTTTTTCTAACAGCTGTATTTCTTAAGCATACACGTGCTCGATAAGGAGCGACATCTTACAACATGGCCCCATACATTTCTTCATATGGCAGCAAATAAAATTAGGTTGGTATTTCTAATACTTGTATATAGTAAGGATAGGAAGCGATTACTAGAGTATTGCGTGACTTCTATGAATCTTGTTTAAGGCTAAATTGATGCAATGACTTCGTGATCATTAATATAGATTAATAATAAATATTTTTTACAGGAAATAATCAGAAATAGTGTAATCATATTATAAAGTACACGTAAGATTATAAAGTACAACTACCTAATTTATTTTTTAACTAGCGGCTCACCCTTGCTTCACTCGGGTTCATCCCTAAGTGCGGTAAGTACGTTTTAACGGTTAATATGGAATAGATGTCACCAAAAATATGCTCCAGGCTATTTTTAATAAAAAAAAAGTTAATAGATTTTCTTTTAAAGTACAAGAACTCTTTTTTCTCTGTGATTTGTCACACTTAGTATCAATCGAAAGTAAAAAACTTGTAGAAAATACCATCATACGGTTGGCAGTCTTTTTCGAATCCACATTACCTGACATCCAAGTACAAACAGGTAAATTGAAGTAGTTAATTGCACTTATCGGATCGTATTTTCCGGAACCAAGTATTAAAATTTAGATAATTTTATTACAAAAATAAT